ATTCCTTGAAGGGAAACTGATTGAACTCTGACCTGTTGCATCAACTGGTTCAAGTACAAATCCTTCTTTTTCATTGATCAACAGTGTAGTTTCATTCATCTGGTGGCTTTCTTCTGGAAGCATAGAACCTACGTGGCTGGAATCCACTGTAAAACACACATTCCACAATCCAATAAAAATCATGTTGTTAATTCATTTGGTATCAAAATACAAAGATTAGAATTAGAAAAATTAGGATAAGTCTTAAAAGTACAAATGATTTATTTTAGAAATTAGTTTCAGGGAGAAATGATACTTCAGTACAAATTAGAGATGTGAATGCTTAATCAGTAACCATCACAATTACTGGGTGATGCTTGCCAGTTACGGTTAAGTGATAGAGCCTGGAGCAGGGGGGCCTGCTGCAGGTGAAGGTGTGCTCCAGCCTGGCTAGAGCTGCCCCTGCCTGCAAAGGGTCTGGCCCGGTATTTGTGGGCAAAGGCATCCCAACACAGATGAGCTGGAATGCCCCTCCCTCTGGCATATCCATGTTTAAGTGGTTAACTGATAAAATAGGATTTTATATCCCTAATACAAATATTTTGCACTTCTGCAGTTTGCATAATACAGTTGGTCCCCGATTTACAAACACATCGACTTATGACCATCCACACTTATGATCTATCTCGCAGTAGCCCATTGTGTTTGAATGTCTGCGGTTGGGCAGCATGTTTACATTTCATTCCCTCATATACATATCTTGCCCTTACAGTATTTTCAGTTTGCACTTGTGGCCATCATGGCAAGTAATAGGAAAAGGGCTAGTGATGAGGGTGGTGAGAAAAGAAAGAGAAAAGCTATTGATTTGGAACAGAAAATAGTGATAGCGAGACAATACGAAGGGGGTCAAACAGTGTCATTCATGTCACGTAATTTAGGGCTATCAAAATCCACCGTAAGCACCATTATAAAGCATAGTGATCGCATTCGTGAAGCAGTGAAAGGGTCTGCACCTATGAAATAAAAAAATTCTAACAAAGAAAAGAGCAGGTCCCACCCTGGAAATGGAAAAACTCGAGGGTATGTTTACAGTACAGTATTAATTCGAGTTAACTTAATTCGAAATAGTTAATTCAAATTAAGATAATTCGAAATAACGCATCTATACACAAAAACTATTTTGAAATAGTGCATCCACACTGAGTGGACCGTGAACCAAAGTTAAGGCTGGCCGGAACCAGTGCTGGCAGGGCATCAGGTTAGGACTTAGTGTGTGGGGCTGCTGCATGAGGCTAACTGAGCTCCGTGCTTAAAGGGACCCTACCCCCACCCCGGACAGACAGTTCTCAGGGTTCCCCACTTGCTTTTCTACCTTGATGAGGGACAGCAAAGCAATCCTGTCTTGGAGTGCCCTGAATGCCCGCACTCGGGACACCACAGCACTCGGCCACATGGAGCCAGAGTTGCCCCTGGGCATACTGGTGCATCTCATGGGGTCGTTGCCATCAGCCCAGCTGTACTTGCTGCAGGCTGCCATGCGGGGGGTTCCATCGGGGGGGCTGTCAGGATCCAGGAGGCCCTGTGGGAGAGCGTCCACTCGAGGAGTCCTCAGAGCCATCCTGGTCCTCCCCACCGGGGGCTCATGCTCCATTCCTCCCTCACGTCCTTCCACTTACACCTCCCTAGTCCCCCTTCCTGATGTCAACTAAAAGACACGTTTTTTTCATAAACACAAACCGTCTTTATTTAACAAAACTGGGGAAAGGAGGTGGGAGACAGGAGGAGAGAGGCTGGGAGAGGGGAGGGGGAAACCTGGGAAGAGGGAGCTGGAAGGGGGAAGCAAGGGGAAGAAGAGGGAGAGGAAGCTCAGGGCCCTGGATTGGGGGTCTCGCTAGACCAACTTGATTTTCATGCATACCTGCTCTTGGATTCCTTTGGTAGCCAGGCTGGCAGCTATCCCTCCC